GGCAAGGATTGTTATATGAAGATAAAGGAAGCATTCATGTCTCTGGGTATTGTGATGCAGATTGGGCAGGTTCACCTATTGATAGACGGTCTACAACAGGATATTGTGTTTTTCTGGGAGGAAACATTATTTCATGGAAAAGTAAGAAACAGAATGTAGTAGCTCGATCAACCGCGGAAGCCGAGTATAGGGCAATGGCATCATTAACATGTGAACTTATATGGGTGAAACAATTCCTTCAAGAGCTTAAATTTTGTGACATCCATACTATGAAGATGTATTGCGACAATCAAGCTGCTCTCCACATTGCATCAAATCCAGTGTTTCACGAGAGGACTAAACATATAGAAATTGATTGTCATTTTGTTCGTGAAAAGTTGTTGACCAAAGAAATATGTACTGAGTTTATTGGGTCAAACGATCAACTCGCAGATGTATTGACTAAGTCATTAAGGGGTCTTCGGATTGAGTTTATTTGTTCCAAGCTTGGTACATACAATTTGTATGCTCCAACTTGAGGGAGAGTGTTAGGATATTTATCCTATTTTATCATCATTATAGTGTGTCAAGGGTTACCCTATTTATCATGATTATATTGTGTCTAGGATTACCCTATTTATCATGTATTTGTGTATCAATTTATTCTTATAAATAGAAGATTGTGAGAGAGATCAATTAAGCCCTCAAGAATTAATCTTAAGTAATCTTATGGATGATTGAAGCCAGAAATATTTTTTTCCATTCTTTTTTTACCTTTCGTTCAAAACTACCCATGACTGTTCTTTCATACAAACAATATCTACAATACTATAATTCTGTGAACAATATGAGGACGAAGAAAAACATCGCATAAGTAATCAATGCACCGCCTAAAAACTTTGAATGTCTTTGTCACAGTGAAACAAAATTTAAAATGAAAAATAAAGATTTAAAGTTTGACTAACATAAAGACTATATCAAATTCGAACATCCAGCAAATATTGAAAATTATTCGAACATTTCAGATGAAGACCACAAACGTATGTGGACTTAGAAAGACCACTGACGAGCCTTTCAACGGCGTATTTCACAGCCGGCGCACAATTGTCATTTTCCTCACGCTCATTATAAGCTGTCTGGATTGCATTTAATTCTAAGGCCATTTGCTTTGCTGGCGGCTTTCCTCGCCGCCTTTGACACCGCCGCGAGGTTCCTGAATGCAGCATTACTAGGCACGGTTGCGGTTGTGATGACGTAGGGCGCTGCTCTTCGTCCATTGGTTTTACTGAAGGTTCTTGTTCTTGGTATCTGATTCTTTTTCAGGTGAAGAATCGTCCTCGACAAAGTAAGTTTACTTAATAAACATAGATTTAAAGTGTTTTTGTCCCGTAAAAAAAAACTTGATTTATTTCTTTATTTTGAAATAAGTAAAATAATATATAAAAGATTTTCTATGTTAATTTTATAATACAATTTTTCAATATTTAAAATACATGTTGTATATTTATAGTAAATAATTTTAATTGTAATATAGAACAGTTTAAAAAATTAAGACTGGATTTTTTTAAAAACTAATTAAAAACGACCGTGTAAATAGAGTTGAAAGAAGAAAGCCTAAATTCTAAAAGATTTTTTCTAGTTACAGTGAAATTACACCTTTAATTGAGATTAAAACAAAAATTAGATTCGTTTAACTGAGTGTAAGAAAAAAAATGTTATTTATTTTAAATCCCATTTTCTAATTTATAACCAATAAATACATTTTAAAAAATTGAGAGAATAAAAAAGTTACTTATGTTTGGCAAAATACCATACAAGTTGACACCAAATCATAATAGATAATTTTTTTCATTTATCTTATCAGAGGTAATGGATGAACTTCTCGATAAGGAAAGAGTATTGCTAGACATCATTTTTGAAAAGACGAATTGCACCATCGAAAAATAAAAAAACCTTAAGGGTTTAGACAGACGGAACTATGAACTGCCAATGGTGGACTATGCTGCTCTGATACCAAGTTGAATAATATACACATATAGTTCTCTTTTCATAATAGAACATGTATCATAAGTTAGGCCGATCCTAAAACGAGTTGATAGAGATAAAACTCTATTTATTTTAGTTAAAAAATCATAAATTTAGAATTAGTAAAACTTTATTTATTAATGGATAATTAAAAATAAAGTTAATTGACAATTAAAATGCTTACTTTTTTTTATTCAAGTTAGGTAGCTTATTTTTCTCTGTTTTGGGCCTCACAATTATCTAAATAAGATTTGTTTTTCGTAAAAAAAAATTAAAACTAATTAGTTTCTTAATTTGGTTTGAATTATAATTAGTTTTTTTAAAGTTAAACTCAATTTGAAAACAATATTTTAAAAGAGTTATAAGATAAAGAGGTAATCATTTTTTAACTAATTATTAAATTAAAACAAATCTAAAACCAATCTAAAATGTGCAAATGTCGTAACACGGGTATGTTAAATCGTATGCAGGTACATAAACTGTTTGAATAGAAGTTATGGGCCCTTCTTTGGTAGAAGTGATTCTTTTTTTGTAAAGAACCCATTTTAGTACTAAGAATGGGTTGATAACCCATAACAGAGGGCATTCGACCCAATAAGGCATATACTTCAAATCTTGCTTGAACGAAGCGGAAGATATTGTCGATAAATAGAAATGCTCATTGATATTTCGAAAATATTCCGCCACAGTTAGGACAGTTAAACCAACTCTCATAAGAGAGCTCTGGGTGGTTCATTCATTTGACCATATATTAGAACTACTTTAGATTTTGCAATATTTTGTTCATTAATTACTCCAAATTCTTTCATTTCCATATAAAGATCATTTCCCTCGCGAGTACGCTCACTTACTCCGCCAAATACAGATACACTTCCGTGAGCTTTGGCAATGTTATTGATCAATTCCATAATAAGTACTGTTTTACCCACTCTAGCTCCACCGAAAAGTCCTATTTTTCCTCCACGACGATAAGGAGCTAAAAGATCTACTACTTTTATTCTTGTTTCAAAAATAGATAATTTTGCATCTAATTGTATAAAGGTAGGCGCAAATTTATGAACGAGAGATGTTATACAAGTATCTACAGGACCTAAATTATCAATCGGCTCTCCAAGCAAATTGAAAATTCGTCCTAGAGTTGCTCTGCCTACTGGAACACTTAGGGGAGTTCCTGTGTCAATAACTTCCATTCCTCTCTTTAGACCATCTGTAGTAGCACTCATAGCTACAGCTCTAACTCGATTATTTCCTAATAATTGTTGTACTTCACAAGTCACATTAATTTGTTGACCAATAGTATCTCGACCTGTAACTACTAGAGCATTGTAAATATTAGGCATCTGCCTCGGGGGAAAGGCTACATCTAGTACCGGACCGATTATTTGGTAATTATGTCCCAGATTTTTTTTTTTCAATCGAAGAAATTTCAGAACCGAAAGTAGTAGGATTTATTCGCATATCAAAAGCCACTTTTTTTTTCCGAAAAAGTTTTTAAATAAAAAAGAAATGTGTGTGTGTGAGACTTTACATTAATATATATATATATATATATATATATATATATATATATATATATATATATATATGTGTGTGTGTGTGTGTGTGATTTTAAAAATATATGGCATAGAAAACTTAAAAAAAGTAAAACGTATCTTATATATTCTGATTTAAAAAATTATTTTAATTTTTTTATAAGACATGTGTTGTTAATTTTTTTATCTTTTCTATATTGTTTAGTTAAAAAATATTAAATTTTCAATACACAAAGTTAAATTGTATTGATTTCTTAAATTGATTCACATCTTACATTTTTCCTTTTCTCCTCTTTAATAATATTAACTTCTCCAATAATTTCATACTTTCTCTTTAAAACAAGTTATAAAACCATTTATATCTACATGGTTTCAAAATAATATTTCTTTTAGTAATTTTCACAATGTTTTTCGTCATTTTAATCATTTGTGAAACTTAAATTTGAAACTGATTTTTCATTAGCACTAATTCATTACACAAAATTTATTCCCTTTTATAAAACCATGAAAAAAAAAGTCTATGAATCCATGCTATTAGATTTTACATCAACCATTCTAGTTTTTTTTTTTAAATCTGACTTTCACGAGTTCATATCTTTTGTACATATAAGAAGTCTTATGATTTCACTTTTTAAAGAATTATAAAAGTAAGACTACGATGATCTTATTAGCAAGAATTGATAACTTTTGACAACAAAGGGACATGAAATATAATGCATAAGAAATGAAATTCATAAACACATAAACGAAGTCTCCATTCCTAAACTCTTCCAATAAACAAAGTGATCAGATTGAGATTCCTTCCATTGGTCCTCAGAGAAGCTTTTATCAGAAGGCACGATTGTCCTGGTTTTCTCGAAAATAATGCATGATTTCTCTAAGCTCCCTTATTAATTCATCAGTAGTAACGTCTCCAACTTCTTTTTCATCATCATTTGAATCTGATATAAACATTTCTCTGCAACGACGAATGAACGATAACAATATGTAATACCAACTGAGGAATCCTACTATGCAACTCAGCATCACCTGTGTTGCAGATGCAGTTGCATCGCAAAAGATGTAGACTAAAACATAGTAGGACACAAATGATGCCAACAATAGAGATACCACCAAACCTAGAATACGAATCATGATTTAGAATATATTTTTCTAAAATTGAGTCTATTATTAATAATCAAAGGTCTTTAAATAGTCGCACTTACAATATTATTGGAATAAAAATAAAAACTGAAAATAAAATATTAACTATCTTAAAAATAAAATCTACTTAATCTATCATAAAATAATAATGTACCTAAATAAACATAAAATCATAACTACCTATTCTTATTTTATCATAATCAAACTAAATATTATACTATACCCAAAACTAATAAGACAAAATTATTAATAAAATCCCAAAAATTTAAGTTATACCAACAAATATCTCATGAAGTTTTCAATCTTTTTATATCTATTCTTATATTTATCTATTGTAATTTCTTTATCTACTTATTAATTTGTTTATTCTTTATGGCTATGTTATGTAATTTAAATATCTCTTCTTCAAATATATAATATCAAAAACAAATTTTCTTTCTTATCTTTCAATATCTTCTTCTTTATTATTCAACATTGATCAAGTACCGGATATTGAGAGCATTCCATTTTAAAAAATAAATGAAAAAGTAATTATCCTTTTTCTTAATGGTTTAAAAATTCATACAATTTTTTATTATCTATTTTTTAACTCCTGTTTATCTATTCGTCAGAATATCTTTAAGAAATCTATAAAAATAGAATAATTTTATTAAACTGGACTGCTTGTAGGAACTATTTTTAGAGTTATCTTAACAAGATATCTTTTTCAATTTACCATCTTTTTATACTTTAAATTTGAATTTAATTTAAAAAAATAATGATGAGAAAGTTAACTATAATTTTTATGACAGTAAAAGTAATCTATCTTGATTCTATGATTATGATTTACAATTTAAATGTATTATTTTATCATACATTTTAAATATAATATAATATGATTTATATATTAACAGTTATTTGTTGTTAATTTTTGTTATAAAAAAATTTATTATAGTTTTTAGTTCAACAAGATAAACATTATCCATTTGAATTATATCTAAATGATAGTTATTAATGATAAGAAAAATAACTACAAGCCTGTTAAGAACTAAAATAAATCTAAAATAAAATTTATGAAATAATTATTAGTTAATTTAGTTTAATGCTGGTAAAAGTTAAGTATTTATTCATTATCTATTATCCATTAGTGAAAAAGGAATAAAAGTAACGTTGTGAGAATAAAGTGGCATTTTCATTAACAATTTATTTACTTTTTAAATAAAATATTTTATGATTTTATTTTTACTCAATTTTTTAGAATTAAACAATCAATATTTTTATTAGTTTTTATTTATTGCTTTTATTTTCTCAGTTAAAGTCTAAAATTAAAGAGGACGGGAAAAAATTTATGTTGGTGATTTTGTGTTGGTGTGTTGCCATAGTTTTCATCATATTTTTGTAACATTTCATCAATTTTTCTTCCCTTAATGCAAGCTACTTTTCGAGACATTGTTTGCCTTTGGGCAGTTCTCTATATTATATTCCCATTTTGATATATGAAAATCACATATCTTCTAATCTTAAAATAAATATTCAATTCTATTATTTTATTAATAAAGCTACACTTTATTTTATTTATTTCTATACTTTTACATAGTGAAATTGTATTGAAATAATATGTAAATATAATAAGTTAACATAGTGAATAATATATTTTATAATAATTAATTTATTCCTATATTAAAACAATGTTTTTCGACAGTATATCTTTATGAGAACTTCTAAATGAGTGATCGAGTGATAGTATACTTTTTTTGCGTTGCTAATATAAAATAATTATTTTATTTTACCATTAAAATATATTTCCTTTTCATAATTTATGGTTAAAATTGAACAAAATTAGTAATGGCTGTTTTTATTTGTTCTTTTTTATATATTATATACAGAGGGAGACACGCAAGTTCACCCATCTCATACATTCATTCTATTATCATTTTCATATTCTTGAGTTTTGATTGAAGCAAAATTGTCAATCAATTTTTAACAAAAGCTAGCAAGTGATCCTAATTATTTCCAAGTACTACAATTTCATCAACTTCTTCTATTTAATTTAGAATATTAATCTCAATAGAGTAATCTTGTCAAAGTTGTTGTTGTCCATAAAAGATATAAAACACGTATATATAAAAATATTATAATATAAATTGTTGTTCAAACCAATCCAAAAGTAATAACCAACCAAAATTGAACTTATTTTTGGATTTATTTTTCTTTAATTAAATGCTTATTCTAATTTTGGATTGAAAATATGCAAAAGTTCTTTGAAAAATGTTTTATGATTTAGTTGTAAATATCAGATTCATAACCTTTAAGTTAAATTTAATATTATAACAATTGGTTTACATCCAATTCTCTCTCTCACAAGAAGTAAGAGTTCAAACATCACTATTTGAATCTGACTTGATCTATCCAGCATCTCCACCAAATAATTATTATTCCTGCAACAATTAATGAATTGAAACCATAGTTAATTTTTTTCTTATAAATTATTTTTATCTGAGCATTTATTATTATATGAATATGTTGAAAGTTTCAAACATGTTACAAAATATCTACCATTTCTTTATAATTATTTTTATCAGAAAATCTAATTGATCTTTCTGATCATAATCACCTTCATAATCATGATTTTATTATTTTATAGAATTCAAAACCCCTACCTATATTCAAGAAACATTGACATAGTTTGAGTAACATAATGTGTCGATTTCGAAATTGTGTTAAAAGAAGTATAAAATATAATCAGCCAACTAAAAAAACATAAAAATGTCTTTAGATATAACTTTTAAAAATGATGTTAGATATATTATAACAATTAGGTTTCCTTTTAAAATATTATCACTTCTAATTTCGATAATAAAATTCATTATGAGTTAAATAAATATAATATTATCATGTATTTGGTAACTTCTTTTTAAACGGGCTTTAGGTTGTACAAATGGGCTTAAGCGGATTAGAATTTTTGGTGGAGTTTTGAAAGGAATATTCTAGATTCTACTCTGTTTTGAAACTTAACCTGTAAGAAACAGTATTATAGAAAATCCAAGATTTTATTCAGCGCAGTTAAGAAGAAACGCGTTTCGTCTCGCTTTCTGACCTAAATTCGTGTCCATTCCCATACACCACCCTTTTGCTTTCTATAAATTCACAACTCCCGTAATTCTTCCCCAATTTCAACCAAAACCGACACAAACGAAAGAATCTTCTAGATTTTCATCATGGCTGCCGAAACCCAACCCCCACAAATTGTATGTTACATCCATCTTTTCATCCTTATTATTATTGTTCTATTTTCCCTGTGAATGATCTAGTGCTTTCAATTTAATTGATCATCAGGGATCAGACTATTCTACTTTACATCTGTTGTTTTGAACTCGATTGAATTCTGAGAACCACAGAGTATTATATTTTCCATGCGTAGTTTATCTATAGTTTAATTTGATTGAATTTTTAGGACGAGAGTATTATTCTAATTTTTTTGTTGTTTGTATATGGTTCGAATTTGATTGAATTTTAAAGATGAGAGGGTTCCATTTTCCTTGTGGTTTATTTAGGGTTTTGAATTTAATTTAATCTTGCAGAATGAGATAAAAGAAGAGCAAGAACTAAAGTACCTTGAATTCGTGCAATTCGCAACTCTTGAGGCTCTCATGCGTTGCGCCATCCTCTACTCGTACGCCAAGGAACGCGCCGGCCCTCTGAAGCCCGGCGTTAACACAGTGGAGGAGGCCGTTAAGACCGTGGTGGCTCCGGTGTACGACAGATTCCACCTTGTCCCAGTCGAGCTCCTCAAATACGCTGATCGCAAGGTCGGGGAGTTGGACCGCCACGTTCCCTCCAACGTGAAGAA